AAAAGGAGATGGGGCCATTCTTATCCACAAAGGGAATACATGCCTCCTGTGCCTACTCTTCACATCTCATCAACAAAGGGAAATGGCAGGAACTCTGCGTCAGGGAGACTTAATCCAGTTGGAGGGATGTCTGCACTGAGTCCTGAAGGACAAGAAGTTAGCCAAGCTCAGTGGTGAATGTGAGAAAGCACTGAACAGTGTGGAACCACATGAGCAAAGGAGGGAGGAGCTCTGTGCAAACTTCTAGATGCCCTTTCCCCAGTCCATTGCAGGCCCCTCACTGTGGACATTGGTAATGTACAGCATCCATCTCCCTTCTCTGGCAACACCTCCTAGATTTCATTTCCTGAGCCACCCATCCCCACTCTCAGACCACCTTGTCTGATCCAGGGATGGTATTAGCCATGCAGGACTAAAACCAAAGGCTGGATTTATCTGTATGGCCACAGTAATTGGTCAAGAGTGGTCACATAACCTGGGCCAGACCAATCAGAGTAAACCTCAAGACTTCTGAGAACCAGTGATTTTTCTCCCCACCAGATTTAAACCTGAATGCTGTTTTACAACAGTGAAAATACTCTGTATGAAGCGATAATTGTGAATACATGTCATTATACATTTGTCTAAGTAAGCCCATAGAATGTACAACACCAAGAGAGACCCCTAATATAAACTATGGACACAATAGCAGTTTTGAGTATTGCAACAGAGATCATATTCCCACAGAGTCTAAAATATTTACTCTCTGGTCCTTTACAGAAAAAGTTTGCCAACTTCTGGGGTAGACAATTAGTAGTGTCTGCCACAAGTATCAGCAAAGAAAGATAGTTGTTGTTGTTGTTGCTGCTGCTGCTGCTGCTGCTGCTGAAAAAAAAAAGTATCGTTTTCAAAAAACATCCCAATCCTCATGAGGAAAATCAGGACATTTTTTTCTCTGCTTACATTTGTGTTAGAGTTTAGTACTAATTTTACTTTGAATTTCATATAAGATAAATGAGGAGTCTTATAATCTTTTCAGGACTTAGGGTCAATACAGGTCTTAAATTGGCCTTGATTTTCAAGCACTCCTAAGGTACTCTGACTTCCATTCATTCCATAAATAGGTACTGAGCATCTAATATGGTAGGAATTATGCTAGGTCCTGGACAGGGACAGAATGGATGGATGGGTGGGTGGGAGTTGAGGGGATGGATGGATGGATGGATGGATGGACAGACAGAAGACAGACAAATAATAAATTGAAAATCAAGAGAGATGTAGAGATCATACTATCATTCCTTCTCAATTTTGCCTAGAGAATATATATATGTGAGAAGGAAATACAGAATATAGTAGGTATATGGGTAAAGGCCTAGCTGCTATAACAAAGAGCTCCCTTTTGACTACACAAGGGACATAAACTACATAAGTTAATTTCTCTCACATAACAGTCTCAAGGTAAGCAATCCACATTGACAGGTGGCTCTGCACCACACAATCAGGGACCTTTTCCATTATATTGTTTTCATAGCCTAAGACATTGACCTCATCTGCATGGTCACAGCTAGGTTATAGGCATATTTGGGTCTCAGGTTACAGAAAGAGGAGGAGAGAGCACGGAGGAGCACCCACCTAAAGTCCCAGACTTGGAAAGTAGCACATATCACCTCCCTTCATCATCCGCTAAGTCACATGATTCACCTTACTCATAAGGGAGACTGGGAAATGTAGTCACTGGCTGGGCAACCATATGACTACCATTTAGTTATTTTGGGCTACTGGGAGAATAAATTTTGGTAGATAATTAGTAGTGTCTACCACATAGACTAAGCTTCTGAGTCCTTGTTGAACTCAGATGCCAGACAGTCGACATCTGTGTTTTCAGGAGCTCTCAGGCCCTGTTGATACAGATCACTGTCCCCTACATTTGGGAGGTTAATTCTGTCTGATAGAAATCATCTTCTTCTGCCATCATTAGTGGTTCCCAGCCAAGTCAAGGAAATAGGACTATATCCATAAAGGACTATTTCCTGGTTTATTACAGCTTTCCACCTGCCACATTGATGACCTTATGCTCTGCCTCACACCAAGTTTACATACTGGGTAATTACTCTTTAAAAAAAAGAAAGAAAGAAAGAAAGAAAAACCTAATACTTCACCCTCTATGGATGCTTTAAACAATTAAGATTCCTTAAGGAAAATTCAAAAGCCAACAGTTTGTGCATAGTGCGCAACTCCTTGAGGCCTTAGAAACACCCCACCTCCCTTTCCCTCATAAGGAACAAGAAGGATTAGAATCTGTGAAACTTCTGTACTGGCCTATTACAATCTTAACGCAAAGAAGTGAAGCTAATGGTGGAATTTCAGGTGCAATGTAAGGGGAGAGGTTAGAGACAGGGATATACCTTGGTCTCCTGGCTGGCAGAGAGCCCAGACTGTGTCCCACACACTCAGCATAGACTGGATGCTTCTGGTCTATATACAGTGTGTGTGTGTGTGTGTGTGTGTGTGTGTGTGTGTGTGTGTATCCCCTAGGGGCTCGAGGTGGCAGCACATTCATCAGATAAATTAATTTCTGTTAATATGACAAGGAGAGGGGCCCTTCCAGGAAACCAGGGCCTGTCAGAGACAAGTTTCCCCTGTTTGTCATTAAATTATTTGTGATAGTGAAATAGTAGGCCTAAAAAAAAAGAGAGAGACTGGAACAGGCATAGCTCTTAGTGAAACCCACACCTTCAAAGTTTGGCCCTGGAATAAGATTATCCAAGTAAGATTCAGATGACCAGCTCAATCCATTTAAGTCTTTCCTTCCCAAAGGTAACAACGACCAGATGGCATCCTCCCCCTGCCCATAACTAGGAAGCAGGAAGTCCTACTCCTAGAGAGGGAGTGTGGGTATTACAGAGTGAGGACCGGAGGGCTGGTGGAAGAGCACAGGGCGGAGGGCAGAGCTCACTGTGGGGAGTTTGCCAATGCCCTGTTTCCTATAACCCACCAAGAGCTGTGTGAAGCTCAGGTGAGCATCTATGCAGTTAGCATGTTAAAATTTTAATGTACTCCATAGGTTTTACCTTTTATTATGGAACTTTTCAAAAGTAAGAAGACTCCGCAAATAACCTGTGCCGTTTCAACACTTACCAACACTTTGCCTATCTTGTTTCATGGACCTTTTTTTTTTTTTTTCCTTTTTGGTGAATATTCTGAGTATTTTAAAGCAAATTTCAGACATCTCACCAGGAAATGAAATGGTGTTTGAAATATAATAAACAGATGGTACTCCCTACTTTCAATTATACTAGCTAGGCTTTTGAGTAAAGAGTTTGAGACCCACTGGTATACTCCAGCCCCCTAGTTTTACAATAATGAGAATTCAGAAGTGAGCCGCCCAACGTTGGTGCTTGAGTGGGAACCAGGGAGAAGTCAGCCCTCGCCCCTGACTCGTGAGTGACGGTCCCAGGCTGATGCCCGACCTCGCTGGCCAGGTCCTTGGGAGGGGGCGGGGGACCCTCCACTCCCTGCAGGCAGGGAGAATCGGAGCGGTTACCCCCAGCACCCCTGGAAGTGTAGGCCGGGTGCGCCAGGGCCAGGGACGCAGCAGGATCCTGAGACTTGCAAGCTGCGGTAGCTGGAGTGGGGGATTCTGGGCGGCTGGCCGGGGCGAGGTACCCGGAGCTGGGGTGGCCTTAGAGAGAGGAGGGCACGTGCTCCAGCGACCAGAGGGATAACCCGGGCCCGAGGGCAGACTGGGGCCTGGGTCGCCCCGCCGCCACTCCGGCGCCCCAAGGAGGCAGCCGACCGTGAGGCTGGCGCGGCGCCCGCGGCTGGGAACAGGAAGTCGTATCTGCGGGCGCGGCCCTGGGTTCGATGCTGCAGATGCCGCGGACCGACAGAGAGCGCGGAGGTCGAGGTGAGCGCGGGGTTGCTTTCACCACCTGGGAAAGCCTCCCACCGGGCAAGAGCTAGCGGCTGCGTCTGGTGTGAGGAGGAGGATTTTGCAAGGGGAGGGAGCCCAGAGAGGTGATGCTTTGAGGCTCGGATCCGACAGCCCGAAGGTCTGGAATAGGGGGTGGGGGATACCGGGCCGACAGACTGAGGTCCTGCAGGGGCGGTAGGGCTTCCAGCGTCTGAGAACGCTGCTGGGAATCTGGGGTTTGAGAGAGGGCTGGGGGCGGTGAAAGTGGGGGGAAGGAGGAAACTGCAAAGAGGTTTGGGAAGAGTGGTCTGGGACTTGGTAGACGGACGCGAGGCAGGCGGGGGCGAGGGTGTCTCTAGATGTATGGGGACGCGGGGCGGTGCCAAGGCTGGGGTTGGGGGAGCGCAGTCCGGCAGGGCACCTTCCGATGAGAGGAGTAGGGGGAGTTAGCTTTTGGAGGATACGTAGATGGCGGGGCTTGCAGGAATGTGGCGGAGACTCAAACACCTTTCGCGGCTGCCGAGATCCCCCAGCACCGGGGGCGGGGAGCGCACCAGGGCTAAGAAGCCACCGGGGCCCCGAGGTGAGCCTGACCCTGAAGGCCGACTCTCGGGGGCTATGGCTTTAAGAGGGACGGCTGGCGCGCGGGCTCTTTAAGAAAGAGGTAGGGGCGTGTCAGGAAATGAGTCCTGGGCCCGCCTCGCCGGGGGAGGGGCCTTGGACTTCGGGAGTTCTCCGTGGCAGAGCGGAGGGCTGCGCGGGAAGGCTGCGCGCTGTGGGCCAGCGCCAGCCGGGCCTCCTTTCGCGGCCTTCGGGCCCCCGTCCTGAGCCCCTCTGACCCGCCCCTGCACCCTTCTTTTCAGACCCTCCCGCTTGCCGTTCCTCCATTCAGCTCCCTGCAGGCCCCGCTCCTCCCTACAAACCGTCTTCCATTGCAGCCCATGCCTCCCTCTCCCTGCACCTCTTCCCCACGCTGGCCTCCGCAGTTTTCTAGCACCTTCGCCCTGCATTCTTCCTCACCCACTTTTCCTTCCCTTCCTCTCCCCTCCCTTTTTCCCTAGGCTCCAACCCCTTCCCCCCTGACTGGTCACCTGCCTGTTCACCACCCCTTCCCTGTCTTATCTGATGAGGCCCCTAGGGTGGGAGCAGGTTGTGAGGCTCACCCCAAAGCCGAACCTCTCTATCCAAAAGGACGGTGGGGAGGCCTCTAGGCCACCGCCATGTGACAGTTGAGGGCCGCAGCTTGCAGAAAGCAGAAGTGAGCTCACTGCCCTGTACTCCAGGAAATCAGTCTGGCTGTGCTGTGACCCAGCTCCTCTGCTACCATGAACAGGGCCCCTCTGAAGCGCTCCAGGATCCTGCACATGGCACTGATGGGGGCTCCCGACCCCTCCGGCGAAGCAGAGGCCAGCGAGGGGAAGCCCTTTCTGCTCCGGGCACTGCAGATCACACTGGTGGTCTTTCTCTACTGGGTCACCTCCATCTCCATGGTGTTTCTCAACAAGTACCTGCTGGACAGCCCCTCCCTGCAGCTGGACACTCCTATCTTTGTCACCTTCTACCAATGCCTGGTGACCACACTGCTGTGCAAGGGCCTCAGTGCACTGGCCACCTGCTGTCCTGGTGTGCTGGAATTCCCCACCCTGCGCCTGGATCTCAGGGTGGCCCGAAGTGTCCTGCCCCTGTCAGTGATCTTTATCAGCATGATTACCTTCAATAATCTCTGCCTGAAGTACGTTGGTGTGGCTTTCTACAACGTGGGCCGCTCCCTCACCACTGTCTTCAATGTGCTGCTCTCCTACCTGCTGCTCAAGCAGACCACCTCCTTCTATGCCTTGCTCACCTGCGGCATCATCATTGGTGAGTAGCTAGCCAGAGCCATGGGAAATAGGAGAGGCATGGGGACCAAAACCCTAAGGAATAACCCTGCCAAGCATCTTTGGACTTTATCTGTCCCAACTCCCTGATGGTAATATGAGGAAGAGCCTGGGGTCCAGAGAGAGCATATAACTTGCTTGAGGTCACCCAGCAAGTTAGGGGCCCAGGCAGGACCCCTCCTACAAGGTGAAATTATAATCTGTATTTCACAGAGGGAAAACCATGGTACACAGAGGTTAAGTAACTTCCAAGATCACACAGCTAGTTAGTGGCAGGGCTGAGATCTGATCTCAAGCAATCAGGCTCCATATACTTGACCACTCTATTCTATTGCTACTCAAGAGCTCAAGTGCCTTGACTCCCCATCTGGTGTTCTTTCTATGGAACAGTGCATCTTTAAGAAATACGCTTTTAGAGGTGTTAGCTGTTTTCCCAGACTTGACCCTCAAAAAAATCACAATTATTGATGGGACATTGTGCTTATCATTTCACATACAGCATCTCCTTTGTTCCCCAAAGTTCCCTGGGTGTTAGCATCACCGTGATCATCTCCATCCAAACAAGGAAACTGAGGCTCAGAGAGGTTAAGTTACTTGCCCAGGGCCACACAGCTGGGAAGTATCCAGGCTGGGATGCAAACACACATTGGTCAGATTGCCAGCCCTGTGCTTCTAACCACTCTCCCATAGGTGTTAAAGCTGCACTACCCAATACAGTAATCACTGTGTCTATTTCAATATAAAGAACAGCAGGTCCTCAAATAACATCATTTCATTATAATAATGATAAGGTACATAGGAACTTAACTTATTTATATCAATTACCTTATGGTAAAAATTTATTTAGTTATATATTGTTTTAGTAGCAGAACCTATGGATGATGTTAAGTGAAAACTTACTGTAATTCAAATTAAATGAAATTTTGAAAACTCAGTTCCTCAGTTACAGATGTAACCTGATTCTGTAGCCACATTTCAAGTGCTCAGTAGCCACATGTAGCCAGTGGTGACTGTATTGTACAGGACAGATTATAAGAACATTTATTGTTTTATTGCAGCACACTAGGTAAGAGCACCCCCAGCATCCCCCACCCCTCCTGGGCCTCTGTCATCTAGGAATGTGATCCTTCTTTAAACCTGTTCAGGGCCCTGGCCAGTATTGCTCAGTGGTTAGAGTGTTGGCTTGTAGCGCAAAAGGTGGCGGATTCAATTCCTGGTCAAGGGCACACACCTGGTTTACAGGTTCTATCCCCAGCCCACTCGGGCCGCATGTGGGAGGCAACCAATTCATGTGTCTCTCTCACATTAACGTTTCTCTCTCTCTCTCTCTCTCTCTCTCTCTCTCTCTCTCTCTCCACGCCCCCCCCCCCCCTTCCTTCCCTTTCACTCTCTCTGAAAATCAATGGAAAAAATACCCTTGGGTGAGGATTAACAACAACAACAACAAAAACCTGTTCAGGTTTCCTGGCGCTGGAAAGATTGTCTTGGTTGACCTACATGTTCTTTGCTGGTGCCCCAGAGTCCAAGGCCAAGGTGCCACCTGTCTTAGAAAATATTCCCCTTGCCCTGGCCGGTTTGGCTCAGCGGTTAGAGCGTCGGCCTGCGGTCCGGAGAGACCCGGGTTCGGTTCCCGCTAAGGGCACGTACTTCGGTTGCAGTTTGTCCCCGGCCCTGGTTGGTCGTGCGGGTGGCGGCCACTCGATGTGTCCCTTCACGTCGATGTTTCTCTCACTCTCTCTTCCTCTCTCTCCCTCCCACTCTATCTGTACAAAAAATGGAAAAATATCCTCGGGTGAGGATAAAAAAAAAAAAAAAAAGAAAGAAAATATTCCCCTTATTGAGCAACTGCTGGATCCAGGGCTGCTCAATCTAGCCCCAAGATCCAAGATGGGGATGGGGGGAGAAGGGTGGAGGTTAGAGTGGGAGGAGCTGCTAAGAGCCCTGGCATACTCTCTCAGCTGCTCCCCCTTCCCCTCCCAGGGGAGGCATCACTTTCTCCCACACTTCTCCAAGTGCCCCAGGGGTCTCCACTTCAGTCCTGTAGACCGTGTGTGTGTGTGTGTGTGTGTGTGTGTGTGTGTGTGTGTTGGGGGGGAGGTGCTCATGGTGGGAGAATTTGATTGCAGAAAGGTGATGTCACCAGGGAAACTGGGCCCAAATCCGAAAAGTAATAAAAGTAGCTGATGGTGAGATTGCTTCTGAAAAAGGTGCATCTCAGGTTGATGCCCCCCCCCCCAACTGAAAATCAATGGAAAAACATCCTCTGGTGAGGATTTTTTTTTTTTTTTGAGAAAGGAGACTTGGCTTCTATGCTCTGGTAGTCACGGTGATAATGCATGGCAGTAAATGAGTTAAGATCTGTGATGGGGACTTAGAGGTGCTGTGGGGATCCTGGCTCGGCAGAGAGGGAGAAGTAGTTGGGGAGCAGGCCTTCTGGAGGAAGTGCTAGCTGGGTGTAAGGAAGGAGTGAGGAGAGACTGTTCCAGGCAGCAGAAAGAGCATGTGCCCTTCATGGCTGGGCCCAAGCAAGGCACCAGATTCGAGGCTGCCCAAGTGAAATGAATCTGGAAGAGCTTTAAGGCAGGACAGGACCTGAGCAGATCTGTACATGAGGAAGGTCATTGTCATTCTGGTTGCAAGGTGGAGAGTAGATTGGTTGGAGAGGGGGTCAACACAGTGACCCAGATCTGCAGCTAAAGGAAATGGGAGCTCAAGAAGTTAGGTAAACTTTTCCCAGGCCATCCAGCCTCTAAATGGCAGAGCCCAAATCTCTCCAACACCAAAACTTTCCTACTCCCCCATGTTGCCGGATACTGTCGCAGTGATACAATGTGTAGGACTGAGCCTTGCCTTTGGGAAGGTGAGGTCAAGCTACAGTGTCCTGTCCCTGTGGGCAGGTACATAGCATCCCATGGCAGCCCAGGGGTCTTGAAGGGATGTGCAGGCAGAAAGAGGTCTCAGGGATAGGGGTGTCAGGAAATACTTATAGACTTCCATTTTACACCCCAGGAAGCCCAGCCTCTCAGACCTTAAATCACTTGCCGAATGTTATTGTAACCACCAAGTGCTCATCCTGCAGAACTCAATTCAAGTGTTACTTTCCAGATGCCCCAGGCTGACACAGTTACCCAGTTACGGGTTTTCACAGCACCCTGTAGTGTTTTATGGACCTCATTACAATTGTAATTAAAGAAGTAATCAAGTTCAGTGGCTTGAGCATCATCCCATGGACTGAGAGGTCCCGGTTCGATTCCTGGTCAGGGCACATGCCTGGGTTGCAGGCGCGATCCCCAGTGTGGGGCATGCAGGGGTAGCCAGTCGATGTTTCTCACATCAGTGTTTCTCTCTCTTGCCCTTCCTCTCTCTCTAAAAAAAATCAATAAAAACATATTTAAAAAACAAAGAAGGAATCGGGAAATGAATTGTTTTAATGTCTTTCTCCTTTGCTATAATGCGTACTCTGTGAGGCAGGGTTCCTGTCCTAGGCCACTGCCTCAGCGTTTGTATGTGCTTTGCATATAGTGGAGACTTTGGACATAGTTGGTGCAGGGAGGTGGGAAGGATGGGATGGTGAGGGCAGCATTACAGTCTGTGAATTTGGGGGACAAAATTCTCTGCCTTTCTTTCTCCCGTACTCATCCCCTCCCTTTCTCTTCTCCCCACTGCAGGTGGCTTCTGGCTTGGTGTGGACCAGGAGGGGGCTGAGGGCACCCTGTCCTGGACCGGCACCCTCTTTGGTGTGCTAGCCAGCCTCTGCGTCTCCCTCAACGCCATCTACACCAAGAAGGTGCTCCCAGCGGTGGACGGCAGCATCTGGCGCCTGACATTCTACAACAATGTCAATGCTTGCGTCCTCTTCCTGCCCCTGCTCCTGCTTCTGGGGGAGCTTCAGATCCTCTTCGACTTTGCCCAGCTGAACAGTGCCCACTTCTGGGGCATGATGACACTGGGAGGCTTGTTTGGCTTTGCCATCGGCTACGTGACAGGACTGCAGATCAAGTTCACCAGCCCCCTGACCCACAATGTGTCGGGCACAGCCAAGGCCTGCGCCCAGACGGTGCTGGCTGTCCTCTACTACGAGGAGACCAAGAGCTTCCTCTGGTGGACGAGTAACATGATGGTGCTAGGGGGCTCCTCTGCCTACACCTGGGTCCGCGGCTGGGAGATGAAGAAGGTGCAGGAGGAGCCCGGCCCCAAGGAGGATGAGAAGAGCAGCATGGGGGTGTGAGCTGCGGGGACCTCGGGATGGCCCAGCCCAGGACACTGCCCAAGAATGCAGTGAAGGCCTCTCTTACCCAGAGAGAGTGGCCTGGAGGGGATATGTTTGCAGACTGATCAGAATCTGGTGGTTGAAATGGAACCGGCGTTTTCAAGTAATGTCAGAAAGTTGCCGATCCTGTCTCGACACCCTTTCCTGTTTGGGAGGTTTTGTCCTCCCCTAGGAAGAAGGGACCAACATGGGAAGAGCACACTAGCCCTTGGGGAGTAGGAAAGTGGTACACCCCTTCCTGTCCCCGTCCCAGGGCCTTTTACCTCCACATGGCCTTTGGGGTTGAGGACAGGCCACACCCTTTAAGGAACAGTATAGCAAAGCCATCAAGTCTTCACCTGTACTCAGGGAGATGGGGGTGTGACCCCACCACAAGCCAACTGAAAGGGTCTGGGAGCCCCAAGCACCATATCTCGATCCCAGGCGGGCAGTGCAGCTTTGGCCCCACAACCAGCTTCCTTTGGAGGAAAGTGGGGGCTGGGCTGAGAGAGGAAATGGACCAGTGTTCCCTCTTCTCTGCAGAGAGACCACCAGGCCCATGGGAAAGGCAAGGGTCAGTTGTTCCCATGCCTGGCCCTGGAACTCCCAGGGGCCACTGGGAATGGGGTACATCATGGGAAAGCACCCTTCCCCCACTATCTGCACCCCATGTTTCCAGCTCTTGAACATGGGGAACCAAACAGCTTTTACAGGTGAAGCAGGGTCACTAGCACCCACCCCAGTCCCTGGCACCGGTTTTACCTGCCTCGCTGTCTCCTGGCACCTGGCACGGCGGCCTGGCTCAGGTAAGGAAGTGGAGCCAGGAGCCACTTCTGCTTCTGCCAACTCTGCCCGTCCCCCGTCCCCCCCCCCCCCCCAGGGCTGATGGCCTCCCCTGATCACCAGTTGCATTCTTCTCCGAGGCTGGGGCTGAAAGAACCTGACTGTCCCCTCACCACACCCCCCCCGGCCTCTGGGTAGCTCCCGCCGCCCCAGTCCCTTCTGTTGGGTGTTTTGTTCCACCCATCTCCTTGGGGTAACTCCTGGTGGGTTTAGTCCCTGTGGGGAAAGGCTGGGGAGAGTGTGTCTTTAACACCTGCGTTTCTAGCCCCCCCACAATCCCAGGTGGTTTATAATGAAGTTGGTGGGCCCGGTGCCCTGAATTGTCAGTGACTTAATCACAATGCGAGTAAGATGTTCTGTGTGTGGGGGCTGAGTGCAGGAAGGGGCCGGCAGGCCTGGGCCGGGCTTATGATCAAGGCCTGAGGAGAAGCGCTGGGTCTGTAAAGGGCAGGAAGGTTCGCCCCTGCCCTCACCAAGCCCAGGTCAGCCCATCTCAGAAAAGCCTGTTCTCTCTCGATCAGGGCTCCTTCCTGGGAGGTGGACGACCAGACCTCAGGTCCCATAGTAGCAATAGCTGTCATTCACTGGGCACTTGCAGGAGGGTAGGCACTGTGCTGAGTGATCTGCATCCATCATTCATCTTCACAACCCCCACAGGCACCCTGTGCGGTGGGCACCACCGCTGATCCCCCATTTTACATAGGAGGCTACTGAGGCTCAGATGAGCACAGGAAGGAAGCGGCAGCAGGAGGATTCAGAGGTCTCTGCCTCCAGAGCATAGGTACTTAGCCGCAGTGCCCTTAACTACACTCAGCATTTTTGAGCACTTACCATGTGCCAGGCACTGTGATAGGTCCTATTAATGTAAAGACCCACATCTGCTTCAAAGGGCCCCAAAACAGGTCCAGTAATGGAAATAGTAGTCTATTGCCCTGAGGTCTCAGAGAAGGGAAAGACCAAGTCTGGGGGATCAGCCAAGTCTTCATAAGGGCCAGAATGTTTGAACGGGTACGAGGGCAGGCCCGCTGAGGGAACCAGGTTGAGCCAGGAAGAAGCACAGCTGGGTAGTGGAGAGGGGTTTGGAGGTGAGGGCTAGACTAGGGGGCTGCGCCGTGGTGTGAAGGGCCTTGAATGCAGTGGTCAATCTGGACTTGACCCTATCGATGTTTAAGTTATTACCAGACCCCTTAAACAGAAAGGTCATGATTGTTTCTGCATCCCTTGTATGAGCAGAAAATGGAGACAACATTCTTGATGTTACTTGTACTTTCTTGGACAAGATTCAAGAAAAAATTAAATTTTAACTTTTTACCCAAAACTTTAAAATACAGACAAAGATGCATGCTTTTGACTTCATCTCAAATATCAAATTAATTCATAAGTTTACAAAGTGCAAGGGTCCTTTCCCTGGCCGGTTTGGCTCAGCGGTAGAGCGTCAGCCTGTGGACCAGAGAGACCCGGGTTCGGTTCCTGCTAAGGGCACATACCTCGGTTGCAGTTTGTCCCCGGCCCTGGTTGGGGCACTGTGGGTGGCAACCACTCGATGTGCCCCTGTCACATCGATGTTTCTTTCTCTCTCTTCCTCTCTCTCTCCCGCTCTATCTAAAGGTAAATGCAAAAATGTCCTCAGGTGAGGAGGGGAAAAAAAGTGCAAGGGTCACAACTCTCAGAACACAATTGAACAGCCCACCCCCCACAAAAATGTGCAGTGTATGTAGGTGGGTTTGGATCCACAACTGACCTTCTCTCTTGTCCCTCTCTGAAGGCAGGGATGTGGAAATCAGGCTTCCCAGTTTAAAAAAAAAAAAAATGGTGGGTGAAGCTGGAGAATTTAGGAATGGGACACCTGGCCTGATGCTGCCACACACCTCTCCTTCAGAGTGCATCACTCTTCACTTCTGCTGCCAAAGAGACTTGGGTTCTACCTCTTAGTGGTAAAGGTTAGGTGCCCTAGCCTTTCTGGGCCTCACTTTTCCTATCTGAGGTATGGGGATAACTCTGTCCTTCCTGCCACATGATGTGAGTTAATGCTCAGCATAGTTCCAAGAATTCCATGAGCTATTGCCATTATCCACATCAACAAACAGCAGTCTGTTTATTGAGTGTTGACCATGCCCCAAACACCAGGGAGACAAACAGTAAACAAAAACTAAAAGCCAGTAAACAATCGCAAATGCATTGGCAAGGACAATGAAGAAAAAGCCGAAATGAAGACCACCAGAGGGAACCGTCTCTAGATGGAAAACTCAGAGAAGGCCGCTCTGTGAGCATGTTTAACCTCAGACTCAGATGAGGGGAAGGAGCCTGCCGCAGGAAGAGCTGGAGAAGGGGCATCCCAGGCAGAAGGCACAGCATGTGCAAAGGCCCAGGAGGCAAACAGCTGGGTGTGGTGCAGGAGGAGAGAAGGCCGGAGTGGCGGGAGCAGAGTTGGGAAACCTCCTTCCAGGGGAGGGTAAAGTCGCAGAAATAGGAAAGGGGATAGAGGCAGATTCGGCAACTTTCTGACATTACTTGGAAACACTGGTTCCTTTTGGTTCCACTCACCACGGGACAGAGTGGAAAGAAAGGAGCCAGAGGCCAAGTTCAAGACTATATAGAAGGCCCCTGTTATCCACGGGGGATACGTTCCAAGAGCCCCAGTGGGTGCCTGAAACTGCAGATAGTACTGAGCCCTGTATATACTATTTTTCTTATGCATACATATACTTGACAGCTTCTCTTTGGCATGTCTGAATTCCCAGTATCACTACTCTTGCACTTGGGTCACTATTAAGTAAAATAAGGGTTACTTGATTGCTCTCTTCCCGTCCACTCTCCCCCACCCCACCCCACGGAGATCTGTTATTCTGTTCCATTTGACAAAGGAACAGGAGAAGGTCTGGAGTCTGTGTCAGGCAGAGGGATCAGCAAGTGCAAAGGCACTGCTGGGTGGGGATGTGGTTGGTGTAAGTGAGGAACGGCAAGGCCTGGGTGGCTGAGGAGGTGAGAGGTGGAATCAGATTGTGGTAGGGGGAGTTCGTAGACCATAAGATATATTAGTTAAGTTTCTTTGGGCTGCAACTAAGAAATCAATGGAAACTAGTGGTGTTTGCCTGCACCCCCAGCACCTCCCATTCCTCCCATCCTGTGTGTGCAGACTGCACCACCCATCAAGAGGCAGAGTCTATTGAACCCTGAATCAGGGCTGACCTTGTGGCCGCCTCTGACCAATGGGATACAGAAATAGCAACATTTGGGGGCTTTTGAGACCAGGCGTTAAAGGGACTTCTGTTTCCCCCTGGCAATCTGAAGGCCAGCCACATGGAAAGGTCATGAGGAGGAGAGCCGAGGCAGCCCGGCCACCAGCCCTGCCCACCCACCGAATGAGTGTGGCCACGTGCGTGACCTGCAGAAGATCAGCAGAAGAGTCACCCAGTCGGCCCACAGAGTCAAGAGAAACAGGGGCTTGGTTTTAAGCCTCTAAATTATGGAGTAATTATTATGCAGCAATAGCTAACACATTAGCCTAAGTAAATGGTAGGGGGATGTTTGAAGGGAACTGGGGTTTCTTATGGAATTTCAGGAAGACCAGTGAAGCCAAGCCGGAGGAAGGGCAGGACCCAGAATCCTGTGACCAGCCTCGCAGAAGTCTGCGACCTTCCCGCCAGAATGCCACCTCGAACGCACCGCAGCTGCAGTGTGGCCCAGGCTCACTTTCAGGCCAGCTCCCCAGTTTCTGGGAGGAGGGTGTGACTGAGTCAGGTCCCCGAATCCCCAAGCAAAGTCACATATGTCACCCAGACCATTGCGACGGGGCCCAAGCGCAGGCCCCAAAGTGTGCTGGGACCGTAGCCCAGCAGCACCCACTACACTGGAATATTCTCCCCTACAGACTCAAATAGGTAAGAAAATATGGCCAGAAAAGTTTTGCTTTTTTTTCCTGACTTGATTTTGGTTCAAAAAAAAGCTGTTCATCAATGAACATGTCCAAGTCCCTTATTTGGCAGCCCAGGAAAGCTAAGGCTCAAAGGTTAAAGGAGGCTTCTGAGGCCACAGAGCAAATTAGTGGTGAGCCCACAGTGGAACATGAGCCTCCTGGTCCTAATCCAAAGTGTTTTCTGCATGCTCGAGATCATGCACTGATTGGCAGGACAACTATTCTGTTAATTTTGCAAACACTTAAATAAATTTTGCTACGTATTAGGCACTGTTAAAAGTTCTTTACAAATATTGATTCATTTACTCCTCATAACAACCCTGTGGAGGTACAATTATCTCCCATCTCACAGATGAGAAAAACTAGGGCACAGAGAGGGTAAGTAATTTGTCTGAGGTCACACAGCTAATAAGTGGCATAACTAGGATGCGAACCGGAGCAATCTGCTTCTCAATCATAAATCTATGGCTTTCACTTTTTGTCTAAAGATGAAAGGAGACTAGGCCTTGTGGTAAAAGGATGACTCAAATTACTAATGAGCTGTGTGGGTTTAGCTAACTCAATCTGTCTGATCTGTTTACTCATATGAAAGAAAAGAAAGTTGTTCATATTTAAGAGAGAACGTGATGATTGAAAGAGACAACACTTACGAATTTTAGTTGCTAGATGAGAAAACTGAGGCCCCAAAGGGTCAAATGACTTGCCCAGCACGCCAATGACAAAACAGAGTGTGGTACTAAGCTCTCCTGGCTATCCTGTCTGATTTCTTTTCGCGTCACCACTCTGGTGGCGAAGCTGCCTCACCAGATACAAGTCTGGCCCAGTCCCCGCCCCGCCCCTGCCCCTACCACAAGCCTTGGTTCCTGTGAAGGGGCTAAATTTAGGACCCAAAATTAGCTGAAATGGGGCCTGCAGAGCCTGCTGCACTGGAGCACCTGCTCCGGGTGTGCTGAGAGCTTAGATGGAGGCAGGCTGTGTGGGGGGTACTGGTGTGGCAGCACCCGTGGGAGAATTTATAGCATTAAAGCTGGGAA